GTGTTTTTGATTTTGTTATGAATAACAAAACCTTAAATAAATAAAATATGGCAGTTTTATTATAATTATTATTATTTTATTTTCGTATCGACTGACCGTTATACTTCAATACAATTACTACCGACATACATATCCGCTATGTAAAACAACAGTTAAGGGAATATACCTCTGAAAATGAATTTATGTTTTTGTTTGAAATACAAGATACTTGTTCTCTCTCATTTATTTTGCAGGAGAGCCTTGAAGAAAATCTACAACCTTTGCTTACAGCTACTAGTAAATACAAAATTACGGAAGTACCGGTGTACGAGATTATACCACAAAAACATTAAAGAAGGACATCCACATACAGGGAATAATTAGTTGTTATAAAGGAAATAAAACCTAAACATGACCACAAACAATCTGACGGATGGAAACACTTAGATGACTGTTCTTACATTCCAGCATTTGGAATAAAAAAAAAAAAAAAAAAACAAATAACGATTTCTTCAAAAATAAAACTGATGCAAAAACAAACCGACTCCAAATATTTCAATTTTTTAACATTTCTTGAGTGTGAACCATTTCATACATCTTTCATATAAGTACATGATAAAATACATGAGGCACCTTGAGGAGTTTGACAATTTTACATATCATGTATACAATATCATTGGTGAGACTTTCTGGATTTTAATTACAACTTTAAGACACTGACACCTGATCTGTGATATCTTGTGAACTTTACCTACTGCTTCCATATTGGGATGTATGGTATTAAGTAGACAATTCATTTAGACATACATTTAAAAGACGAAAGAATATTAATAACAAGCTTTTTTTATACTGACAAACTCACTTTTTATAGTGACTGATTGTCATAATAACATAGTAACAATTTAGTAAAATTTCAACAAATGATTTTTTTGTAATATTAATTATTTGTTGGAATTTCTAGTTGCGATATCGGCTACAAGTTACATGCAAGCCTGATAATTTACATAATCTAGCATATACTTTTGCCTACAATGCAGAAATGATAATCATTACAATATTACATAACACTGCTGATAGTATTATTGAACACATGCAATGTTAGTTGATGGGTAATCAATATCACTGTAGTGTAGCGTAGTTTAAGTACCTGTTTTTATAAATACCACATGTAACAAATCGTATGGGTGATTGTATAGGCATTTAATAGGTCCATTTGTTAGACTTATCAATCTGAAACTTACTTCTGAAGCATTTAAAGAATTATATTCATTTAATTCAGTACAACTGAATTTATAAGATGGTAACGATTATGAAAAATTACAATCCTAGCGTGTGTTTATTATTAACGTCGAAAGTGTTATTTACACTATATGTTATTCATTTAATCATGAGTTTCTTAATAAATTTTAGAAATACTATACATTGTTATTTTAACACATATTTGTTGATAAATAAATGTGTTGTTTCAGTTACGACACCATTTAAACATATTGTGATGTATTTTAAGTATATTAGCAATAATATGCGTTATTGACGTTAAAACATTCCCTAAATTGACTACGTATGTAACACAGTGATATTGTGTCTATAACACATTTCTAATTTGCAGCATCATTGTGTATGTTAAATATGAGATGCTAGAATGAAAGATAAAACTTTTTGGTTGAAATTGATTTAATTTGACAACATTGTTAAGATTTATGCATTAACGATTTACAAGTTAATAGATTTTAATCTAATAGAGTGAATATGTGAGCATTAAGATAATCCCAGTTTACGACACTAGTTTAACATATGGGGTGTATATTAACTACATGTATGTGTTGTTTAAATATTAATTATGATGTATACATTAATTATAAAATTATATTGTATTTTATTTTCAAACAATGCATCCTGTACCTAATAAATATGTTGTTATGAGACAGTACTTGTTTAGATATTAGTTTAATATATTGGGGTGTATGTTAACTATGTAGTGTTTAAATGTTAATTTTAACTTGTAAATTGAATTAACAATTACCTAAAGTTTGTATTTTCTTTTCAAACTAAACAATTACTTAAGGAATAAAATGTCTTGATAAATTAAATCCCAGTTGGATATTAGTTTAACATATTGAAGTATATGTTAACTATGTATTACTTAAATGTTAATTATAGCTTATGTATTGAATTTAATTTATCAGTTTAACAAATCAAAATGTTTTTGTAGTTTAACGCACAAGAGTGCTAATAAACTATGTATAAATAACACGTTAATCCTAACTTTATTTTGAACTTCATGTTTACTTAAGAACAGTTTGTGATAAATATACATTGATAAGATGAGATAAGATAAGATAAGATCTGTTTATAGTGACTCTAATTTTAACATTCTTGGTTTTTCAACAACAATACTAATAGTGATAATCAGTGTATTTTTATATGTATGTACTTTTATATGTAGACAACAAGATGATTCATAATTATCTATATTTTTGTCTGTAAATTGTAAAGTAATCTTTATGTCACAATTCGTTTTATTAGTAACCATCACCAATTTCTTTAAGATATGTATTTCAAGCTTATACTGTTACGTTAATTAATCTGTTCTATATGTCTAGAATTTACAACTGATTAATTTATATGTCTGGAATATACAACTGTATATTTCTTTGATCTTATGACTGCACAATAACAGCAGGAGGCGCGTAAATCGTACACTTTTCTTTTATGTTTAGCAGCCTACTTTCTTGAAGTAAAGGGTTTGTAAAATATTTTTCAAGGATGTAGCCCTACATCAAGTGGTACTAGACACAAGATAAAAGGGCACAGGTTTCCAGACTATGGTTTTTCCTGGGCGAGTCGACCACGATTTGAAAAATATTTATGATCAGTAGTTTATATGGTATATACAATATCTATATATATAATATTATATATACAATATCTATAAATTTACATACATGTGTAAATGTGGGTGTTTTTGTTGTCCAACTTTGTGTCATTTTTATAAAGTTTGTTACAATTGTTGGTTTTTGTTGTCAAACTTTGTGTCATCTATTACATGTATTATAATGTTTACTACAATTGTTTTCTATAAAAAAGCGTATTTGAAGTTTATTGGTTAATATTGATTATATCATAATCTATTATTAGACAATAAAGACGGCCGGTATCATGCAGAACATTGTTTATAATGATGCAAAGACTTTATTGTTAACTAATTTTAAGACTTTTAGTTGCTGGTGTAATCTGGAACAATCCATTATTAAAATTGTTAATATTCTTGTTGCATATCGATCTAGTCAGTTAACAAAAAAATGTCAACATTTTAATTTGTACATAAGGAACATCACTTGCTGGGGCTTGTGACAAATGATATGTTTGATTATTATTTCATTAAATATCATAGGTTGGTTAGCTTCAGTTAAAAAAAAAAATACCATTAACCACTTTTTATACCTTCGGGAATTCTCTGTTAAATAAGCCCTTTATTTGTTAAAGTTTCAAGATCATTAACCTTGTCTTCTCTCCTATGCATTGAAATGTGGGGAAAAGCTAGTCTAATTCTAGCTTTTATGGCGTTTTCTTCAGAACCCTCACATTTCTTACTATTATAGTAGAATTCGATTAATTATTATTCCTACATGTGTATTTTCTATATTTTATTAATTTGCATAATATTGATGTATGTACTATTCTTTGCACATGTTTAAGTATTGTTGGTTAAAACAATAAACAGAGGCCATACCTTATAGTATGGTATGGCCATTAAACACAATTTGATAGTTTGTTATTCCTCGCGTGGCTGTTCGTAAAAATATATATTCCACATGAGAACATCAATATTATCATTAACCTTAACGGTAAAATCTTAAATGAAAAATATTTTCGGCGCCACAAACTTCAGCCGTAATCGACGCATGGTAATAATAGAAGTTCGTTGTATATGTTTTACGTCCTAATTAAGAGGCCGTTTTTTATATAATCATTTATCTTGACTTCTAAATGATTTTTTTGTGTCGCCTTGAAAAAGGCGACATATAGGGGTTACTTTCGTCGGCGGTATCGTTGTTGGTGTAAGCGTCTCCTGAAGCTTGTCCGGAGCAGAAGTCAGTCATTATACGTCGGATTGACTTTAGACTTGGTATGCGTGCTTCTAAAAAAGACCCGAAGTGCGGTACATAAGAACCGGTACTATGCATTTCTTAATTATTGATTTTTTTGCCCTTTGTTAATTTTCATACTTTATTTTTGTCCAGGCCATTTCTCCTAAAGTATAAAAGCTATGGACATGAAACTTCATAGGATGATATATCTCATTAAGAAGAAGTGCAGTGCATTAGAACAGGTACTCTGCATTTATAAATTTTTGAGTTATTGCCCTTTGGTTATTTTCATACTTTATTTTTGTCCGGGTCATTCCTCCTTAAGTATAAAAGCTATGGACATGAAACTTCATAGGATGATATATCTCATTAAGAAAAAGTGCAGTGCACAAGAATCAGTACTCTGCACTTCTTATTTTTGAGTTATTACCCTTTATTAATTTTCATACTTTATTTTTGTCTAGCCCATTTCTCATAAACTATTAAAGCTAAAGACTTGAAACTTCATAGGATGATAGATCTTATTGATAAGAAGTGCGGTGCACAGAAACTGCTGCTATGCACTACTTATTTTTTGAGTAATTACCTTTGTTAATTTCATTTTTGTTCTGCCCATCTCTCCTAAACTATATTGTTCACAAAGCGACACATCCGACTCACTGAGTTCTAGTTAAATCTAAATTATATATAAAAAATGTGTACATTTATAAAACACTTTAGGTCGGCGTTAGAAATAACCGGGTCGGTCGGGCCACCGGTAACATCATCTTAAAGGCCTTTATATACACCATTATGATGAACTCTATAAGAGTTCAATTGAGCTGACATCATTTTAAAACTTGCTATTTTGTATTTCGTAATGTAATGGATATTAATCTACATATAAATAAGTTTAATCTATGGACCATCTTAACTAAATGGTGTAAACAATGGTACTTAACATTCCCCTTCTCACGTAGAGTAATATTCAATAACAGGATATAATTCACTTATTCATGACTTAAACTGTTACACGATGGACAAATAATTGGCCCACTTATCCTATAAAAACAACTTCAGTGTGCGATTGTGATTTAATAGAGTGATACATAAAATACGACAAGCCGAAATCTTCTTTAAATACTCGTTTCTGAGATATATTATAAAAGAAGGTAGGAATAAATTTTCGTTATTTTTCTACCCCCGAAGGGAGGTATAATGTAATCGCACCGTCTGTCTGTCTGTCCGTTTGTGCGTCCCCACTTCATTCGTGTCCGGACTGAAACTTTGTCATACATTGATGTCTACTTCATCAAAACGATTTGTCGCGTTTAAGACCCACGTCCCTACCTCAAAGGTCAAGGTTACACTATCATTTTGAAGTTTCACATTATCGCAATTAGAGTTTATAGACACACATTCGTATCCGGACTGTAACTTTGTCATGCATCGACGTATTTTTAAAAATACTAGGCATAGATGTCTACCACATCAAGACGACATGTCGCGAAAAAGGCCCATGTCCCTACCATTAAGGTCAAGATCACACTTATAGTATAGCGACTAAGGCTCATTTCCGTCTGTCCGCGTGTCATGACTAACAAAACAATCATGTCCAGACTGTAACTTTGGCATGCATTGAGGGATTTTGAAATAATTTGGCACAAATGCCTATCTCATAACAACATTTTGTCGCGTCCAGGAACCACGTCTCTTCTTCAAAGATCAAGTTCACACTTATACTTTTAATTTAAATGTTCATGCTATCACAATTAAAGATAACAGGTACAATAATACAAAGAACAATATTCAGCAATTAGTTACTTTTATTCTCTTTTCTTTTCATAATACCTGCATGCTAAAGAAACCTTTTCGTCACTTGGGTGACAGCTCTTGTTTAATTTTGTTGTTATTTGCAGTTAAAGGCCTATTATGCCATAAAAAGCCTTTATTTCTTAATAGTTTGTTTAATATATATTTGGTGTCCTTATATTATTTCCAAAAACATATTCACTGGCCAATTACCTAACTCATATCTTGCTTCTGTTCCGTTTTGGGAATTAGCACAGTTTAAAAGATTAAATAATTTGTATAGAAATCAAAAAAACATTTTTGTTTAATACATTTTCCTACTTTTATTAAAAATAATTACACATTTAGCACTATTTTCTTTCAGGCAGTAGGCATCTAATATGCTCTTAACCATTGTTTAAACATATTAAAACTTAATGTTGCCCTTTTTGAACAAAGGAATGTATATTTTTTCTGAAGCATAATGTATTTTACTGTTACTAAATTGAAACGACGCTAAACATTTTTAGTATACAATTTTTTTTATTGAATATAGGTTGTTTAGGGGCATTTTCTTTGTTTTATCATCGTTTAATGTAGTGATATATAGATTCATTTGTTGTATTGATACTTACCTTTATATTCTAATAAAAATAATCCATACAAATATATCACTCGTGATTGTGTCGCTTTTGAACAAATCTGTTAGCTCGACTTCAGTTTCGGAAAAAAATACAGGCATCGGCGATGCCGTTCGCAAACATAACTTTTTAAGTTCTTGGTGTATTGTCTTCATACTTGGCCACACCAACCATTGGGACAAGAACTTCAAGAAGACTAGTTGACCAATTGAAATGTTCACTTCTTTGCTTAACTGCCTTTGCTATAACTTTGTTTTAAATGAATGGATTGACATTATAACACAACATCCTTAAAGATAATGTCTTTATGTATATTTAACTTAAATTGACATTGGTTCTTTAATGACGTTGACCTTAAAAGTTAAATTATTAAATTTTCACTGATTTTTGCTAACATTGACTGTTACTTGGTAATAAATATATGGATTATCTTCAAACTTTGACAAAACAACGCTTTTGACAAGACCTTGTAAAATATTGAACTGACCTTGAGCTTTAAATGAGCTTCACCGTGAAGGCCAAATTATTTAATTTTGGTTGAATTGTCATAATTTAAATATTTATGTACGGATTTTATTTATACTTGGACAAAACAAGACTTCCTACCATACAAACATATTTAAAAATTAAGATATGACACATTGACCTTAAACTGATTCTCTTAAATTCTCTTGTTTTTGTAACTGGCTATAACTTTGTAATTTATGAATGGATAAACTTTATATTTAAACACAACATCTTTAAGGTCAGGAACTTTATGTTTATTATCCCATCACTCAGGAGGTGTGCAGTGTACAAGATTGATAACTCTACCTTTCATAATTTTTGAGTTATTGCCCTTTGTTATTTTTCATACTTAATTTTTCACCTGAGTGGAGCATAACTCAAAAAGTGCTTGAGATATCAACATGAAATGTCATAGGTGGATAGATCTTATTGAGGAGGAATGTTGTTTGCAAGAATGATAACTCTTCGCTATATAATTTTTGAGTTATTGCCCTTTGTTCTTTTTCATACTATTTTGTCCACAGCTTATCTCAAAAAGTATTTGAGGTATCAAATTGAAACTTCATAGGTTGGTGGATCTCATTGAGAGGGAGTGCAGTGCACAATAATGATAACTCTTCCCTGCATAGTAAATGAGTTATTGCCCTTTGTTTTTTTTTAAATTAATTTTTGTCCAGTGCATAATTCAAAAGGCCTTTGAGATATCAACATGTTACTTCATAGGTGCATAGATCTCACTCAGAAGGTGTGCAGTGCGCAAGAATGATAACTCTACCTTTAATAATTTTTGAATTATTGCCCTCCGTTATTTTTCATACTTAATTTTTCACCTGAGTTGAGCATAACTCGAAAGTTTTTGAGATGTCAACATGAAATGTTATAGGTGGATAGATCTTATTAAGGGTGGAATGCTGTGCGCAAGAATGAAAACTCTTCCCTATACAATTTTTGAGTTATTGCCCTTTGGTTTTTTTCACATTATTTTGTCCTGAGCTTATCTCAAAAAATATTTGAGACATCAACTTGAAACTTCATAGGTTGATGGATCTCATTAAGGGGGAGTGCAGAGCACAAGAATGAAAACTCTACCTTTAATAATTTTTGAGTTATTGCCCTATGTTATTTTTAAAAATTAATTTTTGTCCAGAGCATAACTCAAAAGGCCTTTGAGATCTCAACATGTAACTTCATAGGTGCATAGATCTCACTCAGGAGGTGTGCAGTGCACAAGAATGATAACTCTACCTTTCATAATTTTTGAGTTTGTGCCATTTGTTATTTTTCATACTTAAATTTTCACCTGAGTGGAGCATTACTCAAAAGTGTTTGAGATATCAACATGAAATGTCATAGGTGGATAGATCTTATTGAGGAGAAATGCTGTGCGCAAGAATGATAATTCTTCCCTATATAATTTTTGAGTTATTGCCCTTTGTTCTTTTTCATACTATTTTGTCCGGAGCTTATCTCAAAAAATATTTGAGGTATAAACTTGAAACTTCATAGGTGGATAAAATTTACTGAGGAGCGGTGCAGCACACAAGAATGATAACCTACCCTGCATTATTTTTCAGTAATTGCCCTTTGTTATTTTCATTCATCATTATTCACATAGGTTTCAAATCTGTAACCACTTCAGCCATTAGTTTTCATTACCAAAAGACCTCTAAAAATTGAATTATTCTGCTCTACTACATATACATTCTTCCAATAAGCATACTCATTCGGCGGGGGATGGCCATGTTGACATGGCTCTTGCTAAACTTAAAGTGACATTGACTCATTTATGAAACTGAATGGTAACATTATTCAATTTTCACTGATTATCGCTATAACTGAGTGTTACTTGGTGATTAATCAATGGATTATTTTCATACTTGGACAAAACTTGGATAAGAAACGAGAATAAAGTTCAACAAGGCAAAGGTAACGTTCACAGGACGCAGTCCCCTCGACATAACCAAGCAAGACCTTCTAAAACGTTGAACTGGCCTTAAGCTTAAAATGCCGTTGACCGATAAAGTCCAAGAATTGAATTTTAGTGAAGTTGTTATAATTTTGTTATTTATGAACGAATTTGATTCATAAGTGGACAAAACAACACTAAAGGCATTGTGACCATACAGACATGTAAAAATAACTTTGATGTGACCTTGACTTTCAAGTTATCAAATTGTGAAAATTTTTTCTAAACTTTGTCATTAAATTATGAAGGATTCATACTTGGACAAAGCAACAATTGTGACTAGACATATCTTTTGTAATAAAACAAAAAAAAGAAACATTTTTTTCTTAAATTTTCTTTAAAAAGATTTAATGAAACCGGTTATTTGTTGCTTTTAGAAAAAGTAAAAATGTCGAGCGTGGCTGCCCCCGCCCGGCAACGGCTTTTTTCGGCGTATGTACTATTTTCAACATTGTTTATTTTATTTACAGATTACCGTTTCCTCCTGCATTAAAAGAAAGAAGAAAATGACTAAGGGCACAGTACTTATTTTATTATTGGTGCTTAGTGAAGTTATCAATGAAAGATCTCAAGCATGTAAACGGGTTGGTTATCGCTGTTATGATGTGGGCGGTGGCTGTACTGCGACAAATCGCAGATGTTTTCGGATTGGTTCCCGATGCCGGTGTAGATCTGCTTTTATTATCGGATCACCACTGCAGAATGACACCGAATCGCAAACTAGCTTACCTAACAATTAAAATGCTATCTTGCTCTTAAAACTGGATTATTTAAACGATATATAATTGCTCTTAAACAGTGTGTAGTGTAAAGAAGCCTACAAGATGCAATAAACAAAATACGCCTAACAGAATCAATCGAAGATACGAAGGTTACACTTCTAAATTGAAGTTGTAGAACCACAATCAAAGTGAACATTCTTTGTTATAATGTGCGATAGATATAAATGTAAAAAATATTATTCCATTAAAGATTAAAATATAAAAAAAACCCTTTACTTTCATGAAGTGAATAATTTAAGTATAACAACAGTACAAAGCAACTTTGTCGTTGTCCTTTATGCTTATACATGCGAAGTTATACGTCCTCAATGTTTATATATGCCGAATTATATGCTAAACTTAGTCTAACAGTGCAGTGCATTTAAGCGGCTTTCATCTTTTCTAAAGGTTGACTTTGTAATTTTAGATAATTTATAAACTCGTTTCATATATTTGTCAGATCAACAGAATTTACGTTGAAAATGAAATTTACCGTCGATAAGATACATAAATAATGAGGAAACCCCTCAATAACTCTTATTTTCCGGACCGCTCTCAATATGAAAATTAGTCAAGCGGAGGTTTTTTCCCCATCTTTAATTAAAAAAAACGCTACTGGCGCGCTATTAATATCTCTCGGGACGCTGTTTTGAAGAAGGCTTTACAGTGATATGATGTATTTTTTATAATAAATAAACGGAAATAATATGTTTGAAACACCACAAATGGTTTCAAACAAAATATAAAAGCTGGAGGCCGCTTTAAAAAACAACCGTTTAAAAGCAGTTATATTACATATTTACATATAAACGTCGTTCTTTAAGGCGCTGCAAAGAAGAAATAAAAATTGTAAAATTTAATTGGTTCAAAAAGCTTTAGATATGGTTGGTTTTGAGACTTAAATTAAGGTTTTTATTGTTTTTCTTTTAGGGATTCCGTTTTACTCATTTTATATAAACTTGAAATCTCTGTATTTTAAAGGTTTACAATATTTATCTAGAGGTTAATATTAGCTGGCTGCTCGCTATTTTGCGATAATGCTCGCCTTTATGCGATGATGGCCCGAAGATATCCATATTGAGCTAAGTTATTAATAGATATATTAATAACTGAAACCTCTTTCTGCTAAGCGCAATATGGAGAACATTGGATTAGTAATACGGGGGTCGTTGGTTTGATCCTAGGGCAGGGCGCTAATTTTTTGAGACAATTAATCGCGAACATTGAGCGTTATTGTCATTTGTCTGTCATCGCCAACTAAGAAATAATTTAGAACAGGAAATGTCGAACGACACTTATACCCCCTATCTAGCCCTTGACTATTTATTGTTAATTTTGAATATAAACTTGCAAAAAATTGGTACATTAAAGTTTTCAGCTATAGAAAAAAAATGACCTACTAGTTATAACCAATCAATATGCGAACTATACAAAGGCCTTGACCTTTCAGCTAATGACCCCATTCTGACCAATCAATATATGAAATATGAAAACTGTGCTAACAAGTTATCAAGGTAATTAGCGGAACCATTCTTACGTGTAAGGCCGCTGTGACTTTTAAGGTCAAATTAAAGAAATTCTCTAATATTTTCCGTAACTGGCTATAACTTTGTCACATATAAATTGATTAACTTCGTGTTTAGATAAAGCTCTTTAAGGTCAGGACCTTCATGTATATCAAACAAGCTGACCTTAACTCTTGTAAGACGTTGAAGGTCAAATGATTTAATTTTTACTTATTATTGCTATAATTGACTGTAACTTTGTTATTAATCAATGGATTACTTTCTTCCTTGGATAAAACATCCTTTGGACAAGACCTTCTTTAAGTTTGCAATGACCGTGAACTTTAGGTTTTAAATGACAATAAACCTCAAGGTCAAAGTATTGAATTTGGTTAAGTTGTCATATTTTTTTTTTATTTACGGATTCGATTCATACGTGGATTAAACAACACATATGACCAAGCAGACTTGTGGGATATAAGTGACATTGGCCGTCAAATGATTGAATTTCGATTATATGTTAAACTTTGGGATTTTTTTATGAACAACAAGTGTGACTAGACAAAAAATGTCATAGTACCAGTGTCACAACACATCTGGGAAAATATCCTGCCTACCCCAAAAAACCTTTACAAGTTTAGTTAAAATCATGTTCGTCTGTATGTATATTAAATATGTACCAGAAATGTTATTTAAAGCAAGTAAAAATGGAAATGCGTTAACCGTCTTTTTTAATTAAAGTAACTGAATAATATAAGATATTTGGCATTGAACCATACATTTAACTGTTTAAATAATTTTATGAAGTTTTTGGAAATCACCTTTTTTCAAGATCAATTTTATCATCAGTGAGACTATGAGGGACATGGTTGTTATGAAGATAATGGTATTGTATCACAATTTTCATGAAGTGAACTGTTGTAACTGTTTCTAATTTTCTCATTTGCCCTCTTTGGGATGTAATGTTTCCCTCTCCATGGACCCAGCCGGCTACTTACTCTTACTACACGTATAAGGTGTGTGTAATTTTGAAATTTCTTGTTTTATTCTTATGAAAGTGTATGTGATAGATATTTGAGGGACAAGGAAGTCGGTTTGAAGAATGGACATCTTAAGCGAAGCAATTTCAAGAACGATATTTGGAAGCACAGATGCCAGCACAAATGTATCTTTGATTTGTCTTCGAGAGGAGACCTATACAGATTTAATGACTGCTCTCAATAGGAAAGCTTGTGCTCCTCAGAGACACAGCTTTTTGAAATAATGAAACTTGCGATTGAAGTTTAATTCACTCAAATTAAAACGATAGTATGTGTATTTAATTAAGTTAAAGTAATTTATATATGTTGACCTTATAGTGGAGCAAATACACTCTAACTGCAATTTGTCCATCTATCACAATCTTGACAGACACTATCATGATAAGTTTTTAAGTAATTTGATCAAACCTCACAAAGTGAAAGAGAAGAATTATTGTGTCATAGAACTTTTATTAAATCTTTATTTACTAATGAATTAATTACCTTTAGTAATACTTTAAAATGCTTGTCCAAAGAATAATCTAAATTATTATTGATATCCATAACGATGAAGATAAGTGATAGGAAGTGCAGTTTATGTACCATACCTCTACGTTACCTAGTTTATGCATAATCTTCCTTTATAATCCTTAATAATGTTATTGCAAACAGAATAACTTTGAGAACTTGTACATTTTCTGTGTCATATCTTTCAATTAAGTTATTTTCTAACATCTCTCACCCTGCCCTTTTTTTGCGACAAGAATTAATTTATTTCCGTCTCAAATTTGATCGCAAATGGCCTTACAGAAACGCATTATTTAATAATTTATCATTAAAAGAGATCATGGATCAACATCAACTAACGTTGTCTTTGGTATAAGCCGTTATATTGACGTATCCAATATCTTGACGAGTTAATGCTTTCATTTAGCAAATAATGTACGTGATAGACATGCAGTTATTTCATCGTACAGAAAACTGCATCATTGAGGAGAACTGTTTATTTGATTTATCGCTCTGTCTATTCTGAATCCGCCAGATTAAATAAAAAGTTCTTCGTTAAGTTTGTACTGTCGGTTAACTCAGACGTATTTGAGAACTAGACAAGTGCCATCAGGAAAACATAGACAGCATTGCAGTATTGCGGTTTTAAATAGAATTTCATGTCAATCAAATATAAGTAGAGAATGCAGAACAGAACATGTTTGAAAGCTTGGCCTACAGGACTTATCTTGATATTGTATCGAACTGTGGAAAGGAAATTAAGATACATTAAATAAGTATTTTGAACATCTATCTTTAATCAAGAGTGTTTTACATACACTATTTATCATAGTTTGGAAATTTTCTATTGAAAATATGTCAGAGTTAAATCATATATGCAAAGTTCGTTAACTGGAAGAAATATTTTTACATAGACGAAAATGACCTGATAGAATGCTTACCCCTTAAATATTATTAAGAGGTTTATTTAGCACCACTATTATGTATCTTTATAGAGTGAAAATAAAACATAACAAATATCAAAATTAAAAACAATACATATATGTAACATATAAACTCAATAATATATTTCTTGTAGATGATAAGTAACCACGCAAAAATATTTTCAGTTTTGAGCACTTTTCATTTTTCAATGACAAACTTTTCTCTTTACTCAACTATTTAATAAAAAATACATTTTGTAAATCTGATAAATATTTGCTAATTGTCAAATTAATACGGCAACTAACTAGTTAGACGGATTTTGACTTGATAATTTAGTTTAAACAGTTGACATTTATGTGCCACCATAAACAAGCTCAACAACACAATAAATAAAATGCTTTTACGGTTCAGTTTTCAGATGCTTTTACTGATAATTATAACGAATCGTAAAACTTATTTTCTGAAAATTATAACAAAGATTAAGACTTTTAGTGTTCTTTCATTTTAGATATTTTTCGTTTGGCAGGATGTAGTTATGATATTTTTTTATTTGCAATTTGTATGGCTTTTTTAAAAAAAAACATCATGCAAAAAAGCATCAAACTAAGAAAGCCCTGATATTAACTTGATTTTCTGTGGTATTGTTACACGCAACAGTAAATCATTGTTTATGACTAATGAGTTTTAGTACATAATGTATATGATAAGAAAAGAAATGAACAGTTCAATCGTATATACTCAAACATCATTATGTCATAAAAACATTGGAATCATGATTTATTCCAACATAGTTATGTGTACTAGTATCTTGTCTTGCAATGCAACAATTATTCACAAGCCACAAGCTAAGACATCATGTTCCCTAAAGAGCTATTGCTATATTTTCTTAATACATCCGTTACTTCGTGCATTTTCTTCCTCTAACAAATTACAACAGTCAAATCTCATAAAATTGCTATTACTAGCAGATTAAAATGAAATAATAAACAATAATTTCTAGAAACAGAGAAAGCATTCCTGATGTGTTGTAAAGTGATGATAATTACAATTGTGAAGGCATTCAAGGAAAACATTTTGAATTTTATTACAAGCTAATTATTATCAGAATAAAATGAAAAAGCAA